ACTTTTTAAGAAGCAAAAGGCGGCCCTCAACTGGGCGCAACGCTTCAGAATCATAAAGGGAGTGGCCTCAGCTCTTCTCTACTTGCATGAGGAGTGGGAACAAGTGGTTCTCCACAGAGATATCAAGGCCAGCAACGTGCTACTAGATGCCGACCTAAACGGGCGGCTGGGGATTTCGGATTGGCCCGGTTGTGACCATGGGGCAAACCGGACACGACCCACGTAGTGGGCACAGTGGGTTATCTTGCACGGAGCTGACCCGAACGGGGAAAGCAACCACGAGCACCGACGTGTTCGCCTTCGGCTCATTCCTGCTCGAGGTGGCCTGTGGGAGGCGACCGATCGAGCTACGTGGCACGCCAGAGTCGATACTTCTGGTGGATTGGGTGTTTGAGAAATGGAAAACTGGAGTTCTTCTCGAAGCAAGCGATCCGAATTTGGGAGAGGGAGTTCGGAGTGGGAAATGGGTTTGGTATTAAAGTTAGGTATGCTCTGTTCTAATTCTAATCCGGCGGCAAGGCCCAGCATGAGGCAGGTGATGCAGTATCTCGCCGGCGATGCCTCCCTACCCGAAGTTATTCTGGATACTGCATGTATCGGAAGCTTCGGGATGGGTAATGACACGGGTCTTTGGTCAAATGTGAAGTCTTCTTGTGCTATATCCGTAGGTAGCATCACCAACGACTCATACTCCAAAGTGGTCGCTGAATTTTGAAGTTTCTTTTGCATGGTTTTGGTTGATGGTCGGAGATAAGTTTGAAGTTTTATTTAATTTTAATTTTCTATAAATTTTACGATGTTGTAAGAGTAAATTTTAGTTTTATTTTTGCTTATCTTAGTTAAAAAATAAAATTTAATTGAAACTCTTTATGCGCAGTTTGTTCGAAGAGTTAAAAAAATAAAAAATTAAAAAACGTTATCACGAACTCTGGTAAGGTATTAATTACACACTTGATATTTTGTTGAAATTTTAGTGTTAATAATGTAAATTACAACATTTTTATTATAAATTCGGTTAACTTTTTTTTTACAAAATCAGTTTACAGGGCCGAAGTTGATGGATTAAATAGCATCACTTCGTGTATAAGAACAAGGTATTTAACCAGTAAACGATTTACTTTTTATTTTTCCTTTATTCATTTTATTATTTTTATTTGATGTTTTTGATAAATATTTGATATTATATACGTGTTTTGAAATTAAAATGTTTTAAATTTGAAATGCTTATATATAAAAATAAAACCATTTTATTTTTAATTTAAAGATATTTGATAATATATATTTTCTAAAATAAAATTATAAATAATAATAGTTCGTAAAAACCGGACTCCACCTGATCTTGTCGACTCTTAGCCGTTAGAGAAGTCTGATGGCAACTAATTGTTCAGATAGGGTCAGCAAATTTCAGCATTGATTGTCGGTCTGGAAATGGCCCTAGTCGGTCTTTTCTGCCAGAAGAGCGGTCTTGATAACACACAGGCTGTTACTGACTCGGAATCCAAATTCAATTTTAATCTTACTCCAAATTTTTGAATTTTAACTTAATTATAATATTTAATAAATTATATTTAATTATAAATATTTATAATTTAAAATAAATAAATTAAATATAATTTACGTATTCAAATATTAATAATATTTTTATTAAATTAATAATTATATATATATACTATTAATAAATTAAACATAAAACAATTAAATTTTAAAAAAATAAAAAAATTAAAAATAATATAATCAATAGAATAAAATTTAAAAATTTAAATATAAAAAGTTATTATTTTTTGTCAAAATTTGAATTATTCATCAACTTTGAATATAAATTAACAAAAATATATTTTATTAAATCTCATATGAGATTTAGATATACAAATTTTTTATTCTTGAATTTTTTAATAATTCATTTGTTTTTAAAACAATAATTTTTAATTATCTAAAAAATTCATAGATTAATTTTAAAATAAAAATAATTATTTAGCCATATTTTCCTCCTCGAATGTTGAAATGAAAACCAAAAAAGGAAAAAAAAAAATTCCAGAAATGTTTAAGATATAATAGAACCAGATCTCAAAAATTTAAATAATTTTACTATTTTTAACTCTGAATATTTTTTATGTTCAGCAAAATAATTAAAAAAAAATTAACTTTAAATTTGTTTAAGGTGAATAAAAACAATTCATAACAATATATTTATAATTGAGCCCCAAATCTTTTCTTTTGCACCATCTGTCTTTTAGGTATAACCTTACGAAAATTTAAATTCTTTTGCATTTGAGTTTTAATATCTTAAATTCTCTGTTAGGTTCAAATCTAAATTTACTTTACGTACTGAAATATTTGCAAGATTAATTTAATATTTAAAAATTCAATTCTTTACTTCCTTCCACTTCCTAATAGATTACTCAAAAAAAATTCTATTATACTTTCCAGATATTTACGAGCAACAATATAAAAATCTTTAATATTTTAAACTTCTATATCAATTTTTGAGTAACATCGTTTTGATTATGGTGGGAATTTGAGGTAGATTTGAAAGGAGCGTCAAATTTAATTTTCACGGATTTTTTGATTCTCACCTTTTTAGATTATTTAATTTAATATACGAAAGTTAAAAAATTAAAACAATATAAGATTCAAAATTGAAATTACAAACCTTAGTAAGTCTTGAGATAAAATATGAAATTTAGCCAAGTCTAAAATTTTCAATAAATCTTCTCTAAAAATAGAATATAAACCCATATTTATAACCTGTTAATAACATCCATATCCCAACCAACAATAATAGCAGGAATGATTAAATATCATAGTATAGCAGGGCTGTCCTAGAAATCAAACAACAGTCATATAGCTCTAATATAGAAGGACCTTTCCAGGAATATCATAACTACTCTAAAATACAGTGAACATATATTCAAAAACGCCTAAGTAACAGAACGTCTCAAAATGCTACGAGGAATCAGTTGCCCATGCATCTTGTTGAAGAGCTATTGGTCTAGAAGGGAATACCGGCACTAGGATTTGAAAAAATGACATGAGAGGCGTGAGTTTTAACAATTTGGTAAATGAAAATATATATTCTAGCCTTGTTGAGAGAAGGACTATAAAAATATATATTTTTTCAGAAATCTCATGTATGTTCAGAATCAAAGAACACAACATATTAGAAATCCATATCATATTAAGTCCAAAAATCCGCGTTATCAAAAATCAGTACAGATCATATTTTTCAGAAACAGTGCTTTAGTTGTTCACATATTAGAAATATAGAATTTTAACAGAATCAGAGAGTGGAAGTATCATAATGGTACCCAGACTATATCAAATCAAAGCAGAACAGATCGAAGCAGACAGACAGATTAGATCAGACACATATCCCAGTTATCTCTCCAGTTTGCATCCACTCCCTTGTACTCCCACCACCTATTTCAATCTGCTCGCATGGGCTCTCAACATGGTGTGTGTTAACATCATCCTTACTAGCTAGGATCCAATCAAAGTGCACCAAATCTAGTAATTCCCCTACTAGCTCATGTCAGATATCTCCCATCACACTATCTTCAAACAAAATTCATATCAAATATCTATATCTAAAATGTTTTTAAAAAAACGAGCAACATAGATAAACATAGTTTTCAAATCATTTTATTAGATATTCAGAAATCATTAGTTCAGATTAGAGAAAGCCCACTATAAAGTTTTTCAGAAAATCATGTTTTGAAATGCTTGCACCAGATTTTCAGCTCAAAAACTAATAGATCATATCATACAGAACATATTAGATAATTCCTTTGAAAAACTGTAAAGCATATTTTCAGAGCAGATATATATAGGCTTTATATAAAAAGTTTTTAAGAAAACACATGCATAGAGAAATAAGTATTATTACTTATAGTATAAAACTAATTAGAAATATAAATAGAATTTATGTCTCAATATGCCCTTGAACACCAGAGATGACTCCTCCAATGCACTTAAACATACAGAACATGTAATCAGAGTTACCAACAGAATTTCCATGTCTCGGACTTAGACCGTGTTAACAGAGACTCAATGTTGTGTCATATGGGAGGAATTCGTGTGAGATGTAGGCTGCTTGTACAAGTACAGAAGGTTATATTCGGAACAGAAAAAGAGTTATATCATAAGAGAAATCAGGATAACCTTAGGGCTGAAACAGTGTTATTGGATAGAGGTATACTGAGCTCTACTCACAGGTTACACCGCAACAGAATAGAGTTATACTATTATCAGAATAGCGCTATTCTTTCGATTACACCATTACCAGGCAGACTTACACATCAGATCAGGCTCATGGGTTATATCGTACTCAAATATAACCATGTCTCATTTCATTATACTCATAGGTTATATCGACAATTTACTGTGGGTTATCATATGGGATTATCCAAGGTAATCCTAGGACTAGCATACTAACTCTAGTCTCCCTCATAACCTTTTAATCCATCATTCATTTAAGCCCTTTTTGTTAATTTATATTTCCTGATTACCCTTTTAATCATTTAATCCAGTCATCTATACTACCCATTAGAGGACAACTGAACCAAATGAAACAAAAAGAATTAAAGCTTATTATGCCTTTGAAAATAATAAAGAATCAATTAACCAGCGGTTCGCACGCTGAATCCTTTCTCACCCTTTTTCTCACAAATAGCCATAGTCAATGGACCCATTAACTCATTTGTTTCAATTGAGTCTCCAAACCCCATAACTAATTAAGCCCTTTACCCACTACGGGATAACCCAACCAGATAATGTATGTGTGAATATATATATATATATATATATATATTAGGTCTTAAAGCAACATAAATAGTGGGTCCAAATTTATAATAAATTAAAGCTTCTAAACGCAAAGCCATACGGCCTCAAGGGAACATTTTATAATCAGAGAAACAAAGGTTACAGTGGCGTATAATCTAATCACCCAAGCATCCCGCTCATGACTCATTCGGCTGGTCTTAAACTTGCAGAACACCCACCAGTTCTAAGGTGTAGAAGAACAAGAGAAGAAAACTTACCCTGTGGATCTCACGTGAATTATTGTCTTTCCTTCTAGTTCAGAGCTTTTCACCCGCTGCCTAGGAACCCCTCGGCTATACGGCCCAGAGGCAGAAGGAATCGTTCCCTTGGTAGCCATTTTCAGCTGATAAAAGAGGGAAGGTCAAGGAGAAGAGGGATGGAAGGGACCTCATCCACACAAACTTGGCCCGTGCCCTACTTATCAAAGTTTCCAGAAGTCTCTCTTTCTCCCCTTCACAGATTCAAGCCACACGGACAAAAGAACCAAATGGGAAGGTCTCGGCCGGACCTTTCCTTGATCACTTCGGTTTGCCTTTTTTGCCCTCATACAAGTCTCCTTATAACAGATACAAAAACCCATACGTACCGAACGAAGGTAACGTAATGTGTTTCTCGGCCGGAGCATTTATTAAACAGTAAGTGTGGAAAATTTGCACTTTGGCCCTTCCACGTGTGACTCTTCACCCAAAGGCCCGCAGACAGAGTTACAACCCCCACCATGTCTCCAATAATATAACTATTTCAAAGAAATCATTAGAAAAATACAAACTTTAGTTCGACTAAGTTTCAAGACATGATATATCCTGGCAGGGTAACATAGTTATATATTAATTTTTGAGTATGATAATATGCACTATATAATATTCTTTGCCTTTATCCTGGCATAAGTATGGAGCTTTGTTTTGGTTCATAATAGCTTGGCTCATGAGACCCCATTAGTTGTGTTTTTCATTTTATCTTTTTATATATTCTATATCATGGATCTTAATTTACTATTTTAATATTTCAAATATTAAATATCATATTTTTTATTTAGAAACAAACAATGCAAAACACTTAAATAAAGGAAATTTGGGATGGCACAAGTGTGTTAATTTTCCATTTTGTAAGACAGATATTTAAACTTTTTTAAATTATTACGATATTTTTATATTTAGTTTTTTTCAAGAAATAATGATCTATTACTATATGTGAAAAATATAAAAGAGAACACTTTGAAATTTAAGAAAAAAAATTTTGGTAAAGATTTTAAAATTCATATTTTTTTTCTTTTTAAGTAAAATAGACATGAAGTAAATAAAGACCAAATAAAATATCAATTTAAGTATTAAAAATTAAGTAAGGCCAACAAAGAACTTGTTACATGCATATTAGTTAAGAAAATCAAGAGTATTTTAAGCTATTAATTGATATTATAATTGTGAGAGTTTAAATAACGGTGTATAATAGGTATAATATCCCACTAATAACTATCATTTAACCGTTTTAATATACTCCTATAAATAGGATATTAACAGATGAAAAATATATGGAAGTGAGTGAAAACAAAGTAGAGAAGAGATATTTAAGCAGAGAATAAAAGAAATTATCCTAATTCATGATTATCAACCCAAGATCAGTGAAAATCAATGAAATGATTGGATCATTATTCGTATTTCATTTACTTTGTATTTTTTTTAACACAAAATCTATCCATTTTTATAATTCTTTTTTATTTTACTATCATTAGAAAATGAATTAATATTTAATGCATGGACAATTATCAGTTCCTTAGTTTAGGATTCATTTGATTTTGGTTTATGCATAACCACACCAGTTAATCAATAAATAAATAAAAATATATCAATTTAACTGTTTTAAAAAAAAGTTGAAAAAGGTTTAAGCATAAATTGGTAGACTTTTGGCATATTACACTAAAAAAAATGAGATCTTTTTTACGCTTTGCACTTCAACGTTACAATCTGGGTACTTATAGTTATGGTGCAAAGTGTCAAAAATCTCATTTTTAGAATGTAATTTGTCAAAAATTTTAAATTTGTATTACCCAACATATAAACACAAAAGAATTCATTTATTTACAAGTCAAGAAATAATTATTTGTAATTTAAAAATTAATACAAAAATATAAAAACCCTCTACTTTTTTATAAAACCAAGTATCTTTCAATTTTGCATTTTTCTGTGAAACGATAATGAGGGGAGAGAGAGGGCAAATTGGAAAGACTGTTGACCACTTCCTATGCGCTGATTTTCCTTGGCCACCACTTGCCTCCCTCAAATAACCAGGATTTTTCCGTTTCAAAAGCTTTAGGTTTAAAACTAATTTTGTTATTTTTCAACTTAAGTTACAAAATAATTTAATTTTATGAGAAAATATATTTTGTTATCGAGAAGTTGAAAGTTTATTTAAAATTTTTGGTATCTTTAGTCAGATTATAATTTTTTGAAATTTTCTTATAAAAATGATTTTTAATGCAAATCAGAAAATTTATAAAATTAAACATATCCATATAAAATATTTAATGTTTTATGAAAATTTATAATAAACGCATCTAATGAAAATAAAATTAATTATATATCAAATGATTTTATGAGTTTTTATCTTGACCTATTCATATTTTTTTTGAGCAATATCAGGGTGAATATTCCGCAATTATCCTTAAAAACCACACTGCCAACCCATTACTAGTCTCCGTAGTTGTTACTTTCTAAGTAAGAACCACCGCACTATCGGACTCTTTCCTCCTCCCCCGTTGACGTTAGGATTGACTCGGTAGAGAAAATGCTGTGATTTGCAAACCGCGTATTCAGATATTTTTTCAGTAATGCATATGATTATGTAATTAGATGATTTTTCAATCACATAAACTTCTCTGGCTGTGTTAATTTCTAACAGCAAGTCCAATGCGTCGTTTTAATCCATCTTCGAGACAAAAGAAACTCCAACGTATTGCTCCAAAGCTCAAATGGCTAACTCTTCGCCTTCACTTCATCTTCTTCTCCTTGTCCTCCTCTGCATGCTCTTGAATCCCAGAGGCGCCACGGCCGAAGAAAAGAACCAGTTCATCTTCAACGGCTTCAAAGAAGCCAAACTCCACCTCGAAGGCGATGTAAAAATACTACCTGACGGCCTCTTGCAGCTGACCAACACTTCCAAACACAAAATAGGCCATGCCTTCTACTCATTCCCAATAAGCTTCTCCGATGGCCTTTCCTTCTCCGCCACTTTCGTCTTCGCCATGGTCCCCGAAATACAGAACATTGGCGGCCATGGAATTGCCTTCGTCATCTCGCCTCCTGCGACTGACTTCCGACAAGCCAACCCAAACCAGTACCTAGGTCTCCTCAATGCCTCCAACAACGGTCTATCCTCAAACCATCTTTTAGCAGTTGAGCTCGATACGGTCTGGAGTCCCGAGTTTGGCGACATGGACGACAACCATGTGGGGATTGATCTGAACAACTTGTCATCAATTGCTGCTGCTTCTGTTTCTTACTATGACGGAAGAGTAAACAGGAGCTTGAAGCTTATTAGCGGTAAGCCAATGCAGGTCTGGATTGAGTATAGAGAAGTGCAGAACGTGATGGATGTGAGAATAGCTCCCATGGGATCCCAGAAACCAAACCGGCCCCTGCTTTCGAAACCCATCAATCTTTCTTCGATTATTTTGAATTCCATGCAAGTTGGCTTCTCTTCTTCCACTGGAGCAATTGCGAGTAACCATTACATCCTAGGTTGGAGTTTCAATAGGACAGGGGAAGCCCAGAGCCTTGAAATCAAGAAGCTTCCTTCGATTCCGAAACACAGAAAAGGAAATTGGAAAACTGGGGGGCTTTCCGTCTTATTGATAATAGTATCTGTGCTGCTGGTCCTTACAGTAGCAGGAGTAGCTTATTTCTTGAGAATGCAGAAGTACGAAGAAATACGCGAAGATTGGGAAAGGCAATACGGGGCTTATAGGTTCTCCTACAAGGATCTTTACAGATCAACCAAGGGCTTCAAAGAAACAGAGCTTATTGGCGTAGGGGGCTTTGGTAAGGTCTACAAAGGAATAATCCGCTCTTCCAAACGACAAATCGCCGTGAAGAAAGTCTCGCATGATTCAAAGCAGGGAATGAAGGAGCTCTTGGTCGAAATCGCCAGCATAGGAAGATTAAGACACCCGAACTTAGTCCAGCTTCTTGGATACTGCCGGCGAAGGGGAGAGCTTTTTCTGGTTTACGACTTTATGCCCAACGGAAGCCTCGATAAGTTACTGTTTAAGAAGCAAAAGGCGGGCCTCAACTGGGCGCAGCGCTTCAGAATCATAAAGGGAGTGGCTTCATCTCTGCTTTACTTGCATGAAGAGTGGGAACAAGTGGTTCTCCACAGAGATATCAAGGCCAGCAACGTGCTACTAGACGCCGGCCTAAACGGGCGGCTGGGGGATTTTGGATTGGCCCGGTTCTATGACCTCGGGGCAAAACCCGGACACGACCCACGTAGCGGCTACGGTGGGGTATCTTGCACCGGAGCTGACCCGAACGGGGAAAGCAACCACGAACACCGACGTGTTCGCCTTCGGCTCATTCCTGCTCGAGGTGGCGTGTGGGAGGCGGCCGATCGAGCCACGTAGCACGCCGGAGGCATTACTTCTGGTGGATTGGGTGTTAGAGAAATGGAAAAGTGGAGTTATTCTTGAAGCAAGCGATCCGAATTTGGAAGGGGAGTATTCGGAGGGAGAAATAGGTTTAGTGTTGAAGTTGGGTTTGCTTTGTTCTCATTCAAGTCAGGCGGCAAGGCCCAGCATGAGGCGGGTGATGCAGTATCTTGGCGGCGATGCGTCCTTGCCCGAAGTTATTGTGGATACTACAGGTATATGAAGTTTCTGTGCGGGTAATGACTTGTCCTATGAATTTTCGACGTCGTGTTTTTCCTCAAACGTGAAGTCTTCTTCCGCCATATCTGTAACTACCATCACCAACGAGTTCATACTCAAAAGTGGGGGCTAAATTTTGTTGTTTCTTTTGTATGGTGTTGATTGGAATGGCATCTCTAGTAGGAGATAAGTTTGACGTTATATTTCATTTTAATTTGATATATATTGTTCGATGTTGTGAGAGAAATTTCGTTTTCTAACAGTACCGTGTTCTCCAGGATTTTATAATATTAAAAATAAAAAATTGAATTAGATTATTGCAATGATTATATTAAATTTTGGTAAAACTGGATATTTATATTGTCAAATATATATTTTATGTATAAAACTTAATTTGTTTTTTTTTTTTTTTGTACTTGTTAATCTTACTTCGATTAGATTATTGTAAGGGCGATGCAATTTCAGTTTTGTTTTTTTAAAAAAGGTGATAAAATTAAAAATTGAACGAGTCCATTCAGTTTGAATTTAAGCTTACCCAAAAATCAAATTTAACTGAAACTCTCTCCGTTGTTCTAAGAGTTAAAAAAAATATAAAGAAACGTCATGGTCAGCTCTAGAAAGGTGTTAACTGGCCATTGCTATTCTGTTAAAATTTTGACTGTTATTAATTTACAGTTTCAGACCAATATATCTTCATTTTAGAAATTAATATTTTAGAAGTATTATTTTTGAAATTATATTTTAAAAATATACATTCTAAAAAGTGAGACATATACTTTTAATATTAAATACAATTTAGAATACGTGCTTAGTTTTAAAACTATTTGTTTTACTTCGGTTGAAAAGATATATTCTTTTCTCTTTTTCATTCTTTTATACAAATATAACTCTCTTTTTATATGTATATATGTATATATACATATAGACATACCTACATATATATATATATATATTTTAATCACTTATCTCTTAACTTTTACATTTAGTTTCTATATTAGTTTTTAATTTATTTTTTTATTCGTATCAACCTCTAAGATGCTAATTTTTTCATATAAACTCTTATTTAAAAAATAATGTATAAAAGAACACAGTTTTAAAAATATGTCTTAAAAACACATATAGCATATACTAAAAAAACATGTATCAATTACTCCTAAAACATTATGCCTAAAAAATATGCTTCAGTTTTAAAAACATATATTTTAAAATTCCTAAAAAAAGGCCCCTTAGTATTTAATAATATAAATTATGAAATTATATATATATATATATATAACCTAGGAATAAGATAATAATTTGAAAAACAAATAATTAAAATACATATATGGAAACAATAAACTGAATAACAAGATAAATTTGAAATAAATTAAATAAACTTAAATTTGAAATACTAACAACAGTTAAAATTGAGATTGTATTTGAACTATTTGAATATAAATTGGGGAATACAAATTTAGAGGAAATACAAACTGACAATACAAAGGTAAATTGAGGCTCAAATAGTTTTGAGAAGACCAAGTGAAGGCTTTCTTCTCTTTACCAAATGATGCCTCTACAATTATAGAGGTTTGCTTATACAAGCAAGCCCGGACATCAAATACAATTGAATTTCAGTTCTTTTCTTCTTTCGGCACATGATCCATTGTCAGAAAGTCTTTGTCATCTTTTGTCACTTGAACTTCTGCTTTCGGTGCTTAAATCTTTGTTATCTTTTGCCATGCGAACTAGAGCCTTATTCACTTGAGAAAATAGGCCCTTTATAGTCTTTGTCGAAAATTATTATGCGCATACTTGGGGATAACTTTACGTTTGTCATACAACAATCTCACAGTTTTGTTCCTTACAAGTCTTTGCAGCTTTGCTACGCGGGAATCTTGTGGCTTTGTTTGAATTTTGAAGACTTGGAGTATTTCACAACCTCATTAATTGACTCATGTATTTGAGTCAAGTCTTGCATAAGTTTGTAGACTTGGAAAGTTTTGCAACTTCTTGGAAATTTTGTATAGGTTTGTAGACTTGGAAACTATTGCAACTTCTTGGAAATTTTCTACCTAGGAATTTTGCACAAATCTTTGCAATTTTGCAACTTTGCTTCTTTTTTTTTTTAAGAAAGAAAATTTAGGTGAGAGCACATATAATCTACTCACTTCATACTTTTATCCTTATCTTTGGTTTTTGTTGAACTTTATAATTGTCTATATTGATGATATATTTCAGAAAATCAAGCAAAAGTTCAACAAAAACCAAAGATAAGGATAAAAGTAAGAAGTAAGTAGATTATATCTGCTCTCACCCAAATTTTTCTTTTTGAAAAAAAAAAGAAGCAAAGTTGCAAAATTGCAAAGATTTGTGCAAAATTTCTAGATAGAACATTTCCAAAAAGTTGCAAAACTTTCCAAGTCTTCAAACTTGTGCAAGACTTGACTCAATTACACGAGTCAATTAATGAGGTCATGAAATACTCCAAGGCTTCAAAATTCAAACAAAGCTGTATGATTGCTACGTAGCAAAGTTGTAAAGACCTATACGAAACAAAGCTGCAAGATTCCTGCATGACAAACACAAAGTTATTCCCAAGCATGTGCAAAATAATTTCCAACAAATACTGTAAAAAGGCCTATTTTTTCACATCAATAAGGCTCCGGTTCACATGGCGAAAGATAACAAAGACTCTCTGACAAAGGTTTGAGTGCCGAAAGTAGAAGTTCACGTGACAAAAGATGACAAAGACTTTTTGACAAAGGATCACGCGCCAAAAGAAGAAAAGAGCTGAAATTCAATTGTATTTGATGTCCAAGTCTACTTATGTGAGCAGGCCTCTATAATTGTAAAGGCATCACTTGGTAGAGAGAGGAAAACCTTCACTTGCTCTTCTCAAAACCATTTGAGCCTCAATCTCCCTTTATATTCCCAATTTGTATTTCTCCCAAATTTGTGTTCTCCAATTTATATTTAAGAAGTTCAAATGCAATCTCAATTTGAATTGTTTTAAATATTTCAAATTTAAGTTTATGTTATTTATTTCAAATTTATCTTCCTATTCAGTTTATTATGTGTGTGTGTGTGAATATATATATATATATATTCAGCTAATTTTTATATATAATCAGTTTACAATGATTGAAGTGGTTGGTCCTGTTTGCAAATGCTTATAAAAAATCAGAAGTAAGTATTTTAAGAATAAGTGGGTAAAATTAGATTTTAATCAGAACATTCTTCAGGATATTCTCTAGTTTCATCTAGGTTTCATTTGATTCACCAGGACATTCTCCAGTTGCTGGTGATTCAGGCAGTCCAAATGGCGATGGTGGATAAAGTGAAGCAAATCTTGCCAAGGCTATTTCAACTTGTTGATCAAGTCGTTAAAGTAGTGAAAAGGCAAGCTTGTCCAAGAGCGAGTGCCAAGATCTGCTAGCTAAACAGCCTAGAAAGGACTCTCCATTCCACCACTCACGTTAGACACCCTCAGTCCAATGGCTCGAAGGGGCATGGCGTCTTCTTCTTTGTCTTCGGCCGAACAAAGTGAGACTTGTTGTCCTAATAGACAATCTAAGAAGAGAGTAGGGATAAGTACAATCTATCTAAAGTAAATATAAAACAATTTACATAAAATAAGAAGAGTAAGGATAAGAAATGTAAACTCTTTTATAGTGGTTTAACTTTATATCTAAGTTTACGTTCACTCTCTCGAGCTTAATTGATCAATATTCCATTAAATCCCTTGTACTCAACAAAGGCAAAAATTCCCAATTACAAACAAAATTTTTGATTTGGTGAGTTTTAAACACCAATATAAATTATAGTAAAGATGGAATAGAAATGTAGTAATTACTCTTAAATAGGATTCACTACCACTCATGTACAAAATAATCTTACTTAAAAGAGGCATTCTTAAGAGTAAACAATTTGTTCTAGGTACTCTCTGTTCAAGTAATAAATAATGTAGCACAAAGAATAAGAGAAAGAGATTTAGAAGACTTTGAGAACTTGTTTTTGGATGCTTCTTCCTTCAATCTGTGCTTCTTTTATAGGCAAAATCACCAAAAAGATGTTGGGGAGACAATAAATAACTCTTGGCCTTTCGTGAGATAGTAAAAGACAAATTTGAATATTCTGTCAATAGTAACAGCACATAGGCTTATTTCAAAAATTCACAAAAATAGTTTTTAATATTCAAAAAATCCTATAAAATTTTTTGAATACTCTAAAATAAGTCTACTTTTAAACACAATAAGAACCATTGGATCACAACTAGCCGTTTGAGAGAAATAGTCTATTTTTCAAGAACATGTCAATTTAAAAAACTGTTTATGTTAAAATTTATTAGTTAATTTTAAAATTATCTAGAAACTTGAATTCTCAACCAAAAATAATAAATAATAAATTATATATTTTTAAAAAACTCATAATGTCTACTTTCTTCTGAAATTGAATTTGTATAAATTGAATTTTTATATTTTAAGATATGACTAAAAAATTACAGTATAGTTATTTTATATGTTGACAATGAGACTTATCAGAATAACTCATTTAGAAAAATTGAATTTTCTCAACTATAAATGTAAAACGAGCATATAATATATCTATTTAAAACTTGGCATGTCTATTTTATAAGTAAAATAAACTTAAAATTTTAATAGCACAATGAAATATATTTTACTATTTAAAACTCATATGATATAGATTTTAATATTGAATTTTTCAAAAGATAATATATAAAATTGATATAACAAACTATTTCAATATAAAAGAGTATATGTATTAAAATAAATGCTTTTTTAGTATAGTTTCATCTAAAATTAATCTTACTATTTTTGAAATTTTATATAATAAGATATTATTTAATTTACTATACGTATATCCAATTTGACAATCCCACTTTTTAGCACATGTAGTATATGTATCTCCAAATAACAAACTCAACAATATGATTTGTCCATATCTAATAATATAACTTGTCAAATATAAATATATATACATGTGACAACTTTAATTTGTTTTGTC